CCCCCTCCTCCCTTTCATGGCTCATCTCGCAATTGTCACGGTGTCAGGAGCGACGAGAGACCGCGAACGGCCGCTCTCTCGTGTTGCAAGCCGATATTCCGGAAGCTGCGTGTCCTCGCAGCGGGAAACATTTTCATTAACTTCCTCCCCGTACTTTACGAGCCGACCGGGGGGAGGGGGGGGGGACGAGTCGCATCGGATGAGATGGTAATGGAGACGCGAGGAGAAAGATGGAGAGAGGAACGGTACGAGGAACGGTGCTTTGGAAAATTCAGAGTTTCTCCCTCTCCCTGCTCCAAGCGAACTCGGTATCAGTATCGCTCTCTCCACTTCCGCACGTGAATCGGTGGCACACGCAGAAATTGGATTTGTCTGTTTCGAGTTCCTCGCGAAACGCGCTCTTCCAGTGCGACGCGCGCGTCACGGCCGAAGAGGGCCGGCGAGGCCAAAAGAATACGACTTTAAGAGGATTGCAAGAGACGGCGAAGCCGTGGAAATCCGAGGGGGTCTCGAAACCGCTTGATCTCTTCCTCCTTCTTACATATCTCTTCGTTAATCCTCGATCCCCTTGCTTCTTTTGTCTTCGCGCTTTTCTTCGACTTCGTCTTCCTCGGGAATCCGCTGTTGGCCCGACTTGGATTACGTTTCACCACCTCGCGCAATGTATCGTATCAATGATCACTCTCGTCCCTTGAATATCAAGCCAAGTGAGTTTCTCGTATTTTTACTGAGATTTAATTTCATCACGAAGCGCTTCGTTATCCTCTGTAACTAGTATTTCTTCGGCGAGAAATTAGAGAAAATAATACAAAGAAAAACCTGTTATGTTGGGGAAAGAGGTCCCGGTAACTCTGAAATAGTTTTCATGCTGAAAACAGTAGTGAAATTTTCAGGTTTGTATAGCCAGCTATTTTCGAGCTGTTGGCAAAAAATCGAGAAAATGAGCAACGAGCTAAAAAAATGACAATCAATCGACCGCTGCACCTGGTCGAGTCAATTGAACACGCGCTGTGCAGCGGTTCGTTCTTAAGAAACTCCTATATTAACAGAACAATTTAATATTCATAAGAATTACAGAGTTTTTAACTAGAATTATCCTCTCTGATATTGCTCACGTTTATACTCATCATCTTACGTTAACATTTAGCAAAGTCGATTCCGAATCTTTCGAAAGACGGACTTGTTTTTAATCAGATTTTATTCTAGTCAAGTTTAGCTCGACTTCAACTTCAGTTTGACTTATTGTAGTTGGATGTAGTTGTCTACTTTGTTGAATTTCACGGAACTTTATAACGTAATCATATTCCTAACTCAAAAGTTAAAAGAGAGTTACCGCACGACGGAACTATCCGTGTCGCTTTCGCTCCCCAAAAAACGATCAAGGGCCATCGTGAAGGGCCAACAGAGTCGGCGGAGTTATCGAAATTACACGCTCATATTGTTCGGCGAAGAAGCATTCCGTGCGACATTATTCATGACTCGGATTCACCTTGAGATTCCACGTGCGTTTGTCTACCCTCGTCGCGGCGTTAGGCCAACCTTGAAGACGCGGAGGCCTTCTTGGGGCGGCAAATCCTCGCGGCGTTACGGTCCCAAGACGAATATCGCGGCTTATTCGGCTTCGTGGAGTGTGGAGAGCCGCGAAGAAGCGAAGAGAGGAAGAGAGAGAGAAAGCATGTGTGAGCGAGAAGCACCAAAGGAGCATCGTCCTTGCTCGGGGGGCAGACACGAGAGGCTAATCCTGGCATTTGTTAACGCGTTTCTAATAGATGCTCTCTCGGTACGTTCCCGCTCGTCGCGAGGCGCTCCCATAGCCACGGAGCTTTCGAGGATACGGAGACTCGCCTTAATTTTCGATTACATCCGCCCTGTGTAATTAGCCCCATCCCACCAACTATTACCCCCTTTGCCCGAGCGTTCGCTTTAGGCGGCGTGCGCCCGGAAAATCGAGACTTAACGGCAGACAGAGGGATGATGCGATCGCGTTTCTTCCTTTCGAGCGTCGCTTCGTCTCGCGGTCGTTCGTTGGTTACGATATTTCTCGTAGCCGCTCGCAAGGTAAAGCAGCGAGGAGGGGAGATATATATATATATATATGTGTGTGTATATATATATATATATAGAGAGACAAGAAGAAGGCGAGAAAACGTGTTGAAAAAGATCATTCTCCAGCCTCTGTGCCAAAAAGAGTACAGCGTGCACGCGCTCTGGAAACTCGACGACGGCCGGATTTTTAACGCGTCTCAATCTTTCTTAACGACGCTACGTGTATACCTGTACATGTGCAAGGAAGAGGTGTGCTGCGCGAGTGTATGCATGCGTGCGTGTGTGTTCGTGTGCGCGCGTACACGCACACACGCGCGGGTGTGTATAATGACACGGCGAAGGCGGCGCCGCACGTTTCGCATTATGATTTCAGCGCTTTGCTTTTAATTAAAATGCAAATCTATCGTGGCGGAGGAGCGAGCGCATGCGAGAGAGAGAGAGAGAGAGAGAGAGAGAGAGAGAGAGAGAGAGAGAGAGAGAGAGAGAGAGAGAGAAAGAGAAAGAGAGAGTGAGAGAGAGAGAGAGATCGGGAGGTAAGACGGATTACGTCTGGGGGCGCCACGACAAACACCGGAATATGATTAATTCAACGCAACCCCATCCTGGGACACCGACGCCACCGCCGGCACCGCCGTGGTCCCTCATTCCACCTCCCGTCGCCACCCCTTAACTCGCCGTATCTCCTTCTTCCTTCCCTCTCCCTCTTCTCCTCCTGCTCTCCCCCTGGTCTGTCCCTCGGGCCTTTCACCACCCAGCCTGACCTCTTCGACCAGAGTTTCCACGGACGACACGTACCAGGACGGCCCTCTTCTTCCCGTCGTCCTCCTCGCTCTTCCCGTTCTCTCTCGTTCATTTCCCCGCCGCATCTCCACGTTCAAGTCTATTTTCCTTCCGTGCAAATACGCGAACCGTCAGCCGAAAGCCCGGCATGGAAACCATGTCAGGCGTATTGACATTGGATTCCGGGACTTGGTCGGCTGCGAGAGCGAGAATAAGAGAGACGTCTTTCGGAGTGGAGGGGTTATCCCCGCGAACGATGGAGGTCTGATTTCCGTTTCGTTTTTGTACTCCGCAAACGAAGATCCGGTCCCTCTGATTAACTTATCCGTTCTCCCACCTCTCAGCGAATAGGTCTTCTCTTTCTCCGTTTCTCGACCAGCGCGATCTTGAGTCACAAATTAACTCCGCTCCCGTCGCGCTGACGTCTTTTTTTTTAATCAGCGACATCAAAGGCTCTTCATTCCCGGTGCGTTCGATAACGAGTGAATCGTGGCGTATCCGAGAGACAGGACGGGACGGGACGGGAGAGACGAGGACTCTTAATCAAGCGTGTCCTCTCGCGCGAAGAGCGAAGAGCCTTGCGTCCGTCTCGCGATTATGCAATTTCTTCCGCGGCGCGTATCGCCGTTTCTCCTTTTGTTTCCCTTGGTTCGCGCCGTTTTGGCCGCGGCTTTCTTTTTCCATTTTGTCGTGTCGTAACGCCTTTTGTTTTGTGTTCCACAGGTCCGGGACGGTTTGGGAAAACTGCCGAGCTGCCTACGAAGATATTGTCAAACATCTCGAAAGGTAGGACAATCCAGATCGCATTGAACCTCGCAAAGTTGCGCGAGTCGGAAGTGCGTGCACGCCATTCTATCTCCTTGTTTTCCACGCGGAAATTATTCCGGCCGTTTCGACGCGTTTCGAACGCAAGAGAGACGGGGCGAGTGTGTCGCGATGAAGCGGGGTCGCGAGGAGAATCGGGGTTTCGCGCACCGACACCGTTCATCCGTAAATCCGTAATTCTCGATTAGCCGGAAAAATCGTGCGCATCACGCGCGCTCGGCAAAAATACAAAGCGCGACGCGACGCGGCGCGCCGAGCCCGATGACGCCGCGACGGCCTAGTCCGGCCGCTGCACTTCCGATAAATCAGTATTACCCGGAGGCAGGTATCGAGTTTCCGGTCGCGCGACAAGTTGAGTCCAGGCCTGACGCAGTAATGCCAACATGATTTGTACGGTGCGAGAGCTCGTAACCTCCGACCCCTCCGCGCCTCCTATCTGCCTGCTCGCTCTCTCCCCCTCCGCGCTATCCGCCGCAAAATCCATCCGACCGACCAGCCGGCCTCCGGTTCACCGATACCAACACACAGCCAGCGTCGCGGCCGAGAGCGAGCCACCGAGGTTTCCGCGTGATCCTAACCACTTGTCACTTCACGGCACGCAGATCATCGTCGCGACGTGCCCGTCCATCATTCGGGGATTAAATCATTCGAGCGCCTCCGAAACACTCGCGCTCGTGCCTGCCGCCGCTCCGAAAGGGTTGATTTCGGAAAGGGGCTTTGCCCACCACTACCACCATCACCACCATCACCAATACCATCACCATCGTCACCACCCCCACGTCAACATGAGCGAGAAGGGAGATTGCTTCGTTACCGCTCTCCTTCGCGTCATACTATATACTACTTAAACAAGGTTTAAGGTTGTCGACGGGAAATAAAAACGTGAAATCGCGAGGCGTGGACAAGAGGCAATCGTCGAGAGTGTTTCTTGCTGATTTCAATGGGCTTTCGAATATACGCCTGTAGAGCGGCTCAAAATAAAAGATACATTTTTATGCGCTTGTCTGCACGCTTAATTGAAACGATCCCTCGAAGATAACTGGGGGATATTAAATTTCCAGCGAATATATATATATATATATATATATATATATATATATATATATATATATATATATATCACAGAGCGCAGCTAAGAGGTGTATGAAAAAATATTTTATACAAAAGCCTGGTGGTATTTTATGCGCTTTACAATTGTGTGTATTCAGATTTTTGTACGAAATATTTTTCCATGTGCCTCATAGTTTTGATAATATTCGCTGGAGATTAAATATTCCGGCTATCTTCGAGGGGGGAGGATCGTTTTAATTTAAAAAAAATACGAGTCTTTTATTTTCTGCTGCTCTACAGTATACCCAAAGCAAATCAGACTCGATGAGATTAAGAGAGAAAGGGACACTTCTGATGGTTCTCTCTTGTGAGAGGACGAAGGCGGGTCGAAACAGATGCGAGAGCGTGGGTAGTGGCGAACGAAGGCGCGATTTCTCGACATCCGGAATATCTTCGGTCTCGTCTTCTTAGTTTTTGCTTCGTCTCGTTGAGAAGGACATGTAGGTGGCAGCAGAAAGAGACAAAGAGATAGATAAAGCGAGAGAGAGGGAGAAAGGAGAGACATAGAAAAAGAGGGAGAGAGGAAGAAGAGCCATCCTCGCGCCCACGGTGTGGCGGTGGTGGTGGCGGGCGGCCGTTAATATGGGGGTGAAAATCGACACTTGGCCGTCCGAAACGTAATTTCCAATTCAAAGGCAATGACCACTGGTCGAGCCCCGCCGACCATTCGGCCCTCGCGCCCACGCCCGCGTCCCTGCATCCGCGCCGGCCCTTTCTCTTTCTCTCTCTCGTTCTATTTGCTTTACCGTCGACCCCACCGTCGACTTCGTCAACCGGACAAACGCGTATTGTGATTTCAGCCTTTGACTGGTGGCCGTTCGATGGATATCGCAGGGGGTGGTAAATGGGCACGAGGCCACGAGGGGGTGCGGGTTCTCCGGCGGACGCGGACGCGGGGCATGCGGCGTCGGCAAGGGAGGGAATGGAGCAGGGAGGGCGCGAGGGGACCGCGAAACGAAACGAAACGGACCGGAGCGACGCGGGGGTGGTTGGCGCGGCGCTCTCGGTGCGGCAGGGAGACGGAAGGGCGACGAGCGCCGTGAATATTCATGGCGAGAACCCTAGACGAATTCGGACTTGTTGCGACTGACACTGATGTAAACCTTTGTTTATCCTGCGTGGCCCACGCTCGCCCGTTCCTACCCTCTCGAGATACGCGCGGCAGCCGCGCCGAGGGCGATCCCGCCGCACACGGTCGAGTATTTAACTGCGAGTTAAATTCTGATTAATCGACGGCGTCGACTTTATTAATCGTTTGTCCTTTTGATTTTACAAGCTCACGGGAATGTCGACCGAAGACTGCGCGCTTATTCCTTCTCTCTGGCGCTTCGCTCCCTCCTCCCGCTCCCTTTTCCTCCCTCCCTCCCTCCCTCTTTGCTGCTTCGTTTTAATCCCGATGATTTGTTCGCGCTAATCCATTTGATCTGCTCGCTCGGAGGAAAACTCTGACTTCCCCTCAAGTCTATCCGCCGGTGCGGCCAATTAAATCTCACTAATCTCGTCTCGAGGCGAATCCGTTTTGGACAGTGCACGTATACAAACACGAGCACGAAGTTCCGTCAGGACATCTTCTTCTGACCCCGTGCGATTCTCACCCTTTCGCGTTTGCTGGTAATAGAAAAAGAGAGATAGAAGAAAAGGATCGTCGTTTCCGCATTGGCGCCCTCGCAATTGCACCTATCGATCATGTTCTTCGGCGCGAGTGATAACCATAGAGCCGAATTTCGGTTATATGACTAGCGGATAAGCAGTTGTTACGAGCGGATGAAGGCGGGAGAGAGCGCGCAAGGGGAAGAGAGAGAGAGAGAGAGAGAGAGAGAGAGAGAAACGCGCAACGAGCTTCCATCGTGCTCATCGACCCTCGCGCGGCCTCTGCGCGGCGTTATGAAGTAAGTAATATTAATGGATCCCCGCAGTCAGAATGTTCGGTATCAATGCGCTAATGTCGGCTTCCTGGCTTTAAAACTACCCAGTCATTCCGGCATAATTCACGCGCATTGTCTGTCGCCGTCCAACTACCTCCGCCATCAGTTTCGCCGCCTTCCTACGGGTTCCTTATCGTCGGCATCCCCTTACGCGCTGCCTCCGCATCTCCATACCCGTCACCCCCTCGCCATGCCCATCTCTTCTCGCCCTCGAGCTCACTCTCTTTCTCTCTCTTCGACCTGTCCCGAACTCGAGCTACCCTCCTCGTTGCACTCGCGACGTCATTAATTACGACGGCGACGACATCCTATCGTCCAGGACATCTGCTGGAAAATAATATTCATAAAGTTGAGCCTCGTCGTTACGATCGACTCTTTCTACTGCCTCCTTCCCGTCCCCTCTCTCCCTCTCTCTCTTCCCCCTGTTCGGTTCCGCTTCTTGCTTCTTCGTCTTCTCCCTCTCGCGCCGCCAGCAAGATGGTAAGCGACGACGTCGCCCATTTACATTTACGGTCATGGTTTCGTGGCCGCCGAGAGACCGTCCACAAAGAAATACACCGACGACGTACGCAAAACGGACACGTCGAACGTGTCGTAAGGTATTTCGCTTCTTGTCGCTTTGATAACCGCGCGCGATTACCGCCGTCGACATCGAATCGCATCACGGTGGAACGGCGCGATCGAGATTATCGTAGTCATTTAGTACATAACACTTAGCCTGATGTACGATTCGTCGCGGCTCGGTGCGCGCATTAATGGCTTATCGATCGGATCAACGACAGAGATTATTCCTCGGAATAATCTCGAAATGTCGTCATTCTCCAATTAGACCGCAGTTAGCCGAGCGCCCGTGCGTTAACTGCCACCGAAGATCAACGTCACGCCGAATAAGGAAAAGAGCGAAGTTGTGTTATCGCGCGCGTCGCTCCGTTCGCGGAGCACAATTCGCGCGCGAATCGCCGCGTCCGGCGCGTCGCACAACGAGCTTCTTGCAGGGAAAAGAAACCCGAGCGTGACGCTAATTCCGCGCGAATCACGAGGTTCAGGGAACAGGGCTTGTTGCACGTGGCGAAATGATCGCGCGAACTAAGCGCACCATTGAAAAATAGTGCGCGCTCGCTCGCAACGGAACCGGCGGTCCCGGCTGTCAAATGGACGCGATCGGCCTCACCGAGTCTATCGTAGCTCGCGACGAGCGCGGCGAAACGGTTAATTCGACTCGGCGATCGCGCGGACGATAGCCTAGCCGCGCGCTGCCTCTCCTCCGACTGCGATCACGAGCGGCCACGCTAATTGCGTTCAAACGAACTGTCAGCGCGCGGACAGGCACACGCGCAAACACCTCTACGGAGGTGGCTGTGGTAGCGCGCGCGCGCGCGAGAGAGAGAGAGAGAGAGAGAAAGAGAGAGAGAGGCGCGTAGGGCGGCCGCGCGACGTGCGTGCAAATACGCGCATTGTGATTAATACCGTTTACGCGCAACCAGTCCGGGCTTCGAGCTGTCAACGTGCCGCAACGAGGATCCCATAATTACGCGATGCGCGCCAACACGACGCGACGTTTTCCGCCTTGTCCGTCCGTCTCGATCGCACGTTATCACCACTGGATCCCAGCCATCGTGGAATCGTCGTCGTCTCGATTGTTCCCGGCATTCATGCTCACACACGAAGTGTATTTTATTTGTATTTTCGTCTAGAAATTTATCCCACGCTCTCTCCTGGTCAAACTGATCCCAATCAATTGTCTTTGCACAAGGTGATGTTGTAAATTCCTAATTGTTAAGCTTAGTGAATTTTGTCGTTACTGAACTCCAAGTGCCGTTGCTGTATTTTTTAACCTTTTTTCTAGGCTTATAAAGCTTTGAAATTTCAGAGTAGAGAGAAATACAAATTTATTAAAAGTGCTCGGATACGAATGACCCTCGTATT